CCACCCAAACTCTCTCCCGGAGCCCACACCACCCCAACACCCTGCCCCAGACTTGAGCCCGCTTCTGCACCCCAAACCCCTCATCCCCGAAGCCCTCACCCCCCTCCCGCACCCCAACCTCCTGTCCCAGCTCGGTGAAAGTGAGCGAGGGTGTGGGAGAGCAAGCAACAGAGAGAGGGGGGATGGAGCAAACGGAGGGCAGGGCCTTTGAGAAGCTGCAGGGGCGGGGTCCTCGGTGAAAGGCCGGGGCAAAGGGTCCCTGAAAAATTTTAAATCAAAATGGGGGTCCTCGGGTTGCTAAAGTTTAAGAACCGATGAGTTAGTAGATTCTTTGGCTGTTAATTATGGGTCCCTCCTTTCATTTCTCCAACTATCGTGGCACTTATGCCCAAGGCCCATCTCCTCAATAGGTATGGCGTGGGTGTCACCCGTAGTAAACACCTAGGGACTAGCACTCAAAGAAGAAAAGACTGTTACTTAGCTTACAGTAATTAGAGTTCCTAAAGATGTGTGGTCCCTGTGGGTATGCCTGACCTCTCCTCCTCCCGCCTCATCTCTGGATCCTCACGTGGCTTGTGGCAGGTGGGAACTGGAGAGGTGATCGGTCTGCGCTGCCCTTTATACCCTTTGTCTTCCCAGAGTGTGATACCTTCTATCCTATTTGTATTGGAGAAGGCCATTCCCTGGATGGCTATTTTGAACATGCCAAGCCTTTAAGCCTCTATTACAAAAAAACAGATATACTCAGCTGGTTCCAGGCCCTCCTAATGATTGAGCCTTACAAGCAGATCCTCAGATGCATTTTCTGGTGAGGGCCCCATTTCCATGCAAAGGTAAAGTAGACCTTTGCTTTGAAGCACCTTAATGTGGGAAAGAAAAAGCCTTTGGTTCTGGGATGGGCATCTTTGTCCAGCTCCAGGACAGTGAAATGGAGTCCTGCTTTGAGAGTACGCCAGTTTTGTAAATCCTGTCAGTCCTGGCAAAAGGAAGCGTCTGGGGTTGTGTGATTTCCCCTTCAGGCGCCACTAGGACTTTTCTCTCAATGGCCTCTCAGGCTCCCTGGCATATTTCTCTGCAGATGCTGCTGCTTTCTCCCATCCTCACCGGGCTTTAACCCATGGCTGATGCAGCTACCTCCCTCAGTTTATTGGTGGCCAGTTGAGAAGCCTGCTTCTTTGACCTTCCCCAGAAGGGCCAAGGGCAATCACCATGACCTTCTTAGACTCAACAATTTAAAGAAGCAATCCTCTCTCTCCACCTTTGGCTCACATCCACACTGTAACATGTCTACTGAATAGGGATGAAGTCACATTTGATGTCAATACTTCTGCTTTGCCTGAATGCTATCACGTCTGCCCCCATTACCCCTGATGACTACAGATAATTTCGAGAGTTGCTGGTTTGAATAATTATCTTTAGAGTTGAAGACTGTCCAAGTCCAGGAAGGAAATGCTGCCTATTTTGATATATACTGTCCTTAAGTTCTTCTCCTCGGTCTCATCTGTTGATTATGGCTTGATGACACCTGCTACAGGCAGCTGGCTGACCCCAGGATCTGCACCCTTCACCACCACAAAGGGAGGTCGCTTGTACCCAGTTCTACAGCAGGGATTTCAGCATCTTTCCCACGCCTGACTGACTCTTTTGGTCATCTCTGCAGCCAATGGGAAGCCTTGAGCTCCAGGTTTGGTGGTTCCTCCTCTTCTGACCAAACCAGAAAGATTTACTTTTTAAGTAGAAAAACATAATACCTCCTCAGGTAGAGGCAGCAGTGCAGCATCCTCATTTTTGTTGTTCCAGAGCAGGATGAACAGACAATCCAGTGACCAATATTCTTCCGATGGCATTGGAGCAGGGATCCACTATGTGCGTTTCCACCAATCCCATTACTACCACTGGTGGTGAGAGAGAATTGATTCAGGGCCTGGTTTAGCTTGATCAATCCAGTTTTTTGGAACAGGCAATATTGCTATATAGGTCTCCATACCGGCTACTTATGCCACCAGGCCTTGTAACAAGAAAACCATCTTGTCCTGCATCCCAAATCAGTCTCTTCACCTTGCTGCTCGGGTCACAGGACATGGATTTCTTCTCATCTAGCAAATTCTGCAAGGCTATAAAGTATCTCTTTGCAGACCAGGAAGCCTTCCATATTGAAATACTACTCCCAGAAGTGGATAAAGGTTTTCCCTCTCCCAGTAGTGGCTGGCAGTTCATCACCATGCTCTGCATTCCTATAATCTTTTATTGACTTCTTACTGTATCTGAAGCATCAGCCTTGCGGTGTCCTTGAACAAAATGCTCTTGTTTGTCATCTCAGAATACCACTTTCCCATAGGCAACTGTGAAGCATTCAGCCACAATCACAAGATTCCTCAAAGGACTGGATAATGTCTTTCCACCATTCAGGAAACCTGTCCCAGTGTGGGATTAACTTCACTGTATTCCACAGGATGAAACTATTTTGTCATTAGGCAAAAATTTTGCCTAAAGCAGCATCTGAGTTAAACTTAAACCAGACCACTGATCTCTTCCAGCTTTCTTCACAAAACCTCATTCTTTCCACCAGGGAAATGAGGCTACATAACCAAGGTGTTAGGAGGGTTCTGAGTTTATTTGGTTAAGACTAAGGCATCTAGGACAGTGTTTTTCAAACCATGGGTCGCGACCCACTACTGGATAAGGCGCTGGGTTGCCTTGCTCTGGTCAGCACTGTCGACCGGGACATTAAAAGTCCCGTTGACAGTACTGCCCTACCTTTTCCGACACCGCACTGCGCCCCGGAAGTGGCCAGCAGTGAGTCCTGCTTCTAGGCAGGGGGCCCATGGGGCTCCACACGCTGCCCCTGCCCTGAGCACCGGCTCCGCAATCCCATTGGTCAGGAACTGGCCAATGGGAACTGAGGGGAGGGGTTAGTGCCTGCAGGCAAGAGTCACGCGGAGCTGCTTGCACGCCCCTGCCTAGGAGCCAGACCTGCTGCTGGCTGCTTCCAGGGCGCAGCACGGCCTGGCAAGTGCCAGGATAGGCGGGAAGTCTGGCTTTGCATCCCGGCTGCGCCGCAGATCGGGAGCTGCTGGAGGTAAGTACATGCCCCAATCCCCTGCCCCAGCCCTGAGTCCCCCCCAAACCCAGAACCCCTTCCTGCACCCCAAACCCCTCTCCCCACCCCAGAGCCTGCACCCCTAGCCCAGAGCCCTGACCACTTCCCTCACCCCAAACCCCTCATCCCCCGGCCCCACCCCAGAGCCTGCACCCAGAGCCCTGACCCCCTCCCACACCCTGAACCCCTCATTCCCAGCCCCACCCCGCAGTCCTCACCCCCGCACCCCAACCCTCTGCCCCAGCTCCGAGCCCCTCCCACAGCCCAAACCCCTCATCCCCAGCTCCATTGGGTCACGGGCATCAACAATTTTCTTCAACTGGGTCACCAGAAAAAAAAAGTTTGAAAACCACTGATCTAGGAAGTTACTTAGTTGTGGGCATTTGGAGATTAATGTAGAAGGGGTGGCATTTCCACTTGGTGCCTGTCAGTGAATTAGATGGTGCATAGCTTTCTCTTTTTCTTTAGCTAGCGTGATTGTACGTGATTCTCAAGACTTGGCCTTCTATCGAGATGGTGGCATTGATGGCTTGCTTTAGTGATAGAAATCTGCGGGTCTGCTGCCCCGAATTCTTTGTACATTTGTGCAGCACTGCTCTGTTGACTTGGCCTGTAGATCTGATGCTTACTTTAGGAGGACCGTTCTGCAATCATGTTCAATTAGACCACCTTAGCGTACCTTCCTTGGTATTCTCCTGCATGGTAGACTCCCAGAAGTGGGAAGTTCTGCAGAAGCAACCTTGAAGCAGAGCCAGTAACCGTGTGGTCCTTTCAGAGTTGTCTCAGCGTATTCACACTATTCACCCACCCTCATAGTTGCCTCTAACAGCCTTTGCTCCAAACCTCAAGTGCCTCAGGTGAGTGCTCATGCTGTCCTACCAGGTTCCTGAAACCCAGACGGGGGAGCATCCCACAAATGTGAGTGCACATAAGCAAACTCTCTCAAAGAACGTTTCTTTTTGGCAGCTGAGTAGAGGGCAGTGGGGCATTTGGCACCCAGGAGGCCTGAGTTAGGTTTGGCAGCTGACAGCAGTTTGACAATTACAACCTAGAAGGTAGCTAGTGGCTTCTAGCACTGTGGGGATGCTTCTGTTCCTCTCTTGCAAACAAGGAAGAGGTGACTCTCTTTTGGTGGGGGAGTGGAAAGGTTTGAGTTCTGGTTTCCAAAGCTGTGCCCTACATGTTCACCACTGAATGCATTTAAGCTGCTGTCGCTGGCATACCAAGTTAACACCCCATGAAGATGAATGGAGGCGGTTCATATCACTCAGAGCTGTTGCTTCAGGTTGTTTGCAGACTATTAAATTAAATTAATGGAGATATCCTATCTCCTTGAACTGAAAGGGACATTGAAAGGTCATTGAGTCCAGCACTAGCAGGACCAAGTAGTGATTTTGCCCCAGATCCCTAAGTGGCCCCCTCAAGGATTGAACGCACAACCCTGGGTTTAGCAGGCCAGTGTTCAAACCACTGAGCTATCCCTCCCCCAATGGCCACTGTTACTCTGTTCGCCTTTGACTGCTGGCCCTTCTGGCTGTGAAGATCACTTTCCATTTAGTTTCATCTTCGTGGAGGCTTAGATTCTAATACACAATTCTGCCACTAAGGGATATGTTTTGTAGCTGTGGAATACATAGGGGTCCATAGAGAAGTGACTTCTTCGGCGTGTGTGATGGGGTAGGGCTACTGGAGAGTCTAATGAAACGTATGCCCTGCTCAGGCAATCCTCTCTGTAAAACATGTAGTGTGCAGTTTGCGGGGCCCCATCTCCTC